GGCTTTGGGCTGTCCCTGACTGCTTTTCCAGGCCGCAAACAGGGAACTGGATGGGAAGTGGAGCTGCCGGGATTAGAACCGGTGCCCATATGGGATCCTGAAATGTTCAAGGCAAGGACTTTAGCCGCTAGGCTATTGCGTCAAACACCCATGTGGTATTTAAAGGACTTTTAAAATCCTGTTTGCATCACATGTATTTTAGTACATTGCTATTTTTTTCAAAAATTATTGCATGAAATATTTTACTGTGATGTAAAATTCATCAAATTCATCACAGTCTGGTTGTGATATTTCCTTTGTAATATCCTTCAGCTGCTGACTTACAGATTATAATTTAGCCAAGCGGGTAGCTGGCTGGCTTCTGATACTGGTCCAGGGAAAGTCCTCTGCAAAGAAGAGTTCTGAAGTAACGAACCAGTGTGTTCTTCTAAAGCTTCTGTAATGACTGTGATGCTTCAGCACTGTGCCCAAGTTACTGCAGCACTTCCATCATTCACAGCCTGTGCGTTTACACTTGCTGTTAGCTCTGGACAGTCACGCTGTCTGGCTAGTGCCTGCAGCCTGCAGTAATACCACTCAATGCTGTTTCTGTAGCGGGCTGTTGCATGTCAGATCCGCAAGGAAATATTGGCTATCTTGAAATTCAGGTTGATTCATATTAAAGTGACTTAGACCGTTTGTTCCCCTGTGGCTTTCTTGTCGGGCATGTCTCTGCCCTCCAGTGTTTATTGAAGTGCTTTGTTGAAGTTAGCGCACTGTGGCCGTGAACCCACACGCTGCGTTTAGGGCAGACTAAGTGACGTCTTCCCTTGGGCCAATCCCTGCGCTAGCCCGCGGGGCCTCTGAGGTCTGCAGCTGCTTGGAGTGTCACGTCCTGCGGTAGCTTCTGGAAGCTGAGAACTGGAGTATGGTTGGGCCATTTACATGTATTTTGCATGGTAGAAAGTGTTGATTGTATTAACATAAAGTATGCAGTTTCTAAATGGTTTGCACTGTTCTTTTATACATATTTTATAAAAGAATATTTTGTAGTGAAGAATCTTCTTGCTGTGTGGGTTGGATGAGAAATCAGTTTCCCTTGTTAAAAAAAATAGTAAGGGTTATTTTGGGGGCTGGCATTGTGGCGTGCAGAGCCTCCCTCTGCAGCAGTAGTATCCCACATGGGCTGCTCCACTTCCAGTCCAGCTCCCAGTCAATGTGCTTAGGAAAGCAGCAGAGAATGGGCCCTGCACACAGGAGGATGGAAGGAAGCGCCCAGTCAGACCAGCCTAGCTCTAGCTGTTGCGGCAATGTGGGGAGTGAACCAGCAAATAGAAGATCTCCCTGTCTGTAATTCAAGATAGCTCTGCCTTTCAAATAAAAATAAGCATTTAAAAAGGGGGTAGTTCCCAGAATTTTCAATCATTAAATGATAAGGCTAGTTATCAAGTTTTTTTTTAAAGATCTATTTATTTATTAGAAAGTCAGATATACAGAGAGGAGGAGAGACAGAGAGGAAGATCTTCCGTCCAATGATTCACTCCCCAAGCGAGCGCAATGGCCGATTCAAAGCCAGGATCCAGGAACTTCTTCTGGGTATCCCACACAGGTGCAGGGTCCCAAAGTTGGGCTGTCCTTAACTACTTTCCCAGGCCACAAGCAGGGAGCTGGATGGGAAGTGGAGCTGCCAGGATTAGAATCAGAGCCCATATGGGATCCTGACACCTTCAAGGCGAGGACTTTAGCCGCTAGGCCACTGAGCCGGGCCCTAGTTATCAAGTTTTGCTTATCTCAAAACACCATAGGTGTCTCAATTATGTTATCACTGTCTTTTTTTTTTTTTAATAATTGAGTTTTCAAAAGGAAAGGGAGGAAGAGAGTCTGCAATTTCCTCAACTAGGAAATTTGTAATGAGTACCATTGTGTGCCAGACGGCATGCCAGATGGGGGAGCCACAGCCCCGCCTAGGGCCGCTCAGGGAGCGAGTTAGGCAGTCAGGAAGAAGGAAGGGACCGGACAGAAGTGCCGTGCTGGCCTTCCCTGCAGGTCGGGGACAGGGCTGCGAGCTTCTGGGGACTGCTGGCTCTCATCCAGAGTTCTTAAGGTCGTTATATTTAAAACTCCATATGTGATCTTGGGCTTCAACATCTGTACTAAATCCCTTTTGTAATGTTGATAGTATTAAGCTCCCTGTAAATGATGCTGCCAGCTTTTCCCTGTCGTATTCTCAGAAATAACCCGGAGTTGAAATTTGGTGAGCCTTGGTCTGGCTAGGACAGTATTGTTTTCCATATACTCAAAGCGGGGAGCGTAAGATGTCAAGGAGGCAGTCTGTTGGAAATAGAACTCGGAGCCTTGGTCTGGCTGGAGTCACCGAGGGCTTAAGCAGGCTGAGGACACCTGGACGTAGCTACTGAGCCTGGTGGTCCAGGAGATGGGGCTGGATGGCTGGTAAGGAGGGGGAAGCAGGCCCTGAAGGAGGGAGCTGTCTGGAGATGCAGGAACTTGAGGTGGGGTGTGAAGCTGACTGTACTGTTATACCATGAATTTAGAGTGGCTTAGTTAGTGATACCAGTGAGTAATTGGAAGAAGTCTGGAATAAGTACTAAAAAGTTGTAGTAGCAGTCTAGATAGCCTTATAAGGTTTTGGTTTTTTTGTTTGAAAGGCAAAGTTGGGCCTGGCATGGTAGCCTAGCGGCTAAAATCTTTGCCTTGCACTTGGTGGTATCCCATATGGGCGCTGGTTCTAATCCCAACAACCCCACTTCCCATCCCATTCTCTGTTTGAGGCCTGGGAATGCAGTTAAGGACAGCCCAAAGTGTTGGTACCCTGAACCTTCATGGGAAATGTGGAAGGAGGCTCCAGGCTCCTGGCTCCAGATTGGCTCAGCTCCAGCCATTGTGGCCACTTGGGGAATAGAATCAACAGACAGAAGGTCTTCCTCTTTGTATATCTGACTTTCCAATAACAATTAAAAAAAAAAAGGCAAAGTTGGAGAAAGCTTCCATCTACTCTTTCATACCCCAAGTGACCATGATGGCCAAAGCTATGCCAGGCCAAAGCCAGGAGTCCGTGGGTCTTCCCCACGTTGACAGTGTTTGGGACCCAAGTATTTGGGTCATCTTCCACTGCTTTCCCAGGTGTGTTAACAGGGAATTGAATCTGAAGTAGAGCAGCCAGGACTCGAAACCTGCACTCCAATGGCATGCCAGTGTCGAAGGTGGCAGTGTCACACACTGCGCACGGTGCTGACCCCAAGGGTTTTGATTTTTGTTTTGTTTGCTGATAAGGGAAAAAGATGGTAGCTGGCACTGGACAGAAGGTCAAGTGGGCATTGAAGTGTAGCCGATTGTAGCTAGCTCAAAGGGTGTCAGCTGGTTTCCAGTGTGCCTTCCAGGTCTTGCCTCAGTTACTCTCCCTCCTCACCTTTAGGGGCAGGAGCGTTGGGATCCCTCCCTGCCTTCCTGGGGCTTCAGGTGACATGTAGGGACACAGCTAGGTGGCTGGGAAATTGCAGGGCCAGAGCTGGATTGCAGGTCTGTGTTCGTCATCCTTTGCTGTAAGGTGTTAGGATAGTCCCTAAAGTATATTCCAGCTCATGTTTGTGGGAGACAAAACAGCTGATACTTAGACCTGCCTTTGAAGATGGGCCAGCGCTAAGGCTCAGTGGCTAAATCCTCACCTTGCAAGTGCCTGGATCCCATATGGGCTCCAGTTCTTGTCCCGGTTACTACACTTCCCATGCAGCTCCCTGCTTGTGGCCTGGGAAAACAGTAAAGGACAGCCCAAAGCTTTGGGACCCTGCACCCATTTGGGAGATGTGGAGGAGGCTCCTGGCTTCTGGCTTCGGGTAAGCTAAGCCCCAGGCATTGCAGCCACTTGGGGGAATGAACTAGCAAGATCTCTCTCTATCTTTCCTTCTCTCTGTAAATCTGTCTTTCCAATTATAAAATAAAAATGAATAATAAAATAAAGTAACTTTGTTTTTAATCTTGCTGAAAAGAGCAGCTTGATAGCTGTGGCATTGAAAGCTGCTTTGCTGTTGTTCATTTGACTTTTTAAAAAGATCTGTGAGTTTATTTTCAGAGAGGGAGAGCGAAATCTTCCATGTTGCATCTACCTGCTTACTTCCCAGTTGGCTGATAAACCATCACCGGGCAGGCTGTGAAACGAGGAGTCAGGAGCTTCATCTGGGTCTCTCACATGCGTGGCAGGCGCCCAGGCCCCTGGCAAACTGCTGGATTGAGAGTGGAATAGCCAGGACATGATCAGTGCCCATATAGGATGGCCTATTGCAGGCAGCAGCTTTACCCGCTAGGCCACAGTGCTGGCCTCTGAATTTCTGAGGAGAGCAGTGCTGACACCATGGCATAGCAAGCTAAGCCTCCGCCTGCAACACTGGTGTCCCAACCGCTGCAATTCCGACCCAGCTCCTGTATATAATCTGGGAAAGCATTGGAGGCTGGCCCAAATTCTTGGGCCCCAGCACCCACATGGGGAGACCCAAAAGAAGCTGCTTGTTCCTGGCTGTGGATCAGCTCAGCTGTGGCCGTTACAGCCATTTGGTGAATGAATCAGTGGATGGAAGACCTCTTGCTCCTTTTCTCTCTGTAACTCTGACTTTCCAACAAAGTGTCAGGAAACAGTCTTCCAGACAGAATAGAGAGTGCGAGGCTTTGAGTAGCATCTTGCCTAGTGTACAAGTCGCTATACTTCCCAGGTTTTGCTTTGCAGGTAACATGGGGTGATGGTAAAGGAAACTGGGAAGCACAGAGGCTTGGAGGAAGTACCCAGAATCCTCCTGTCCGGAGATGTCCCCCCGCCCCCGGTGTCGTGGGCTGTGTCCTTTCTTAAAGTGCTTCTTAAAGATTTATTTATTTATTTATTTATTTATTTATTTACTTGAAAGGCCGAATGACAGAGAAAGATCTCCCACCAGCTAATTCACTCTCCAGATGTCTACAGTGGCTTGGACGGGGTCAGGAAAGCCAAAACCTTAGAACTCCATCCAGGTCTCCTGTGTGGGGCCTGGGGCTCAAGCACTCGGGCCATTTTCCACTGCTTTCCCAGGCGCCTTAGGTGGAGGCTGGTTGAGAATCTGAGCATCCAGGCACTCCAGTACCGTGTGTCAGCGTCACAGGCAGCACCTTAACCCACTATGCCACAGTGTCGGTGCCCTGGAGCTTCTTCCGATATCATCCCTTTGTTAGTTTGCTAGGGCCACCACAGCAACGTACCACGGGCTAGGAGACCTCAGCGACAATGGCGGGATGCTCACCGTGCTGGAGACTGGCGTCACCAGGTGTGCTTCCTGCTGGGTTGTATTCTCTTGGCTTGCGAGTGGTTGCCCTGTGTCTTTAATGTGGCCCTTCCTTGTGTGTGCGTAGGGGACAGAGTTGAACAGTGGTACCATCTGTGAGCAGGGACCTCAGTTACACATGCCCCCCAACTTTCCTGGCAGTGTTCACCTGCGCTCTCGCAGCCTTTATTTTTGTCTGTGGAGGCGTATGAATTACCTGTTAGAAATTACAACAGTGATGCATAGTGATTTTCTGTAGTCAGATTAATTAAGATGCTTAAAAATATAGATGTAGCATTTTGTGAACAGAAGCGGTCATGACTTCTGCTACAGGCTGCTGCTTGCCTGTAATGTCCCCTGCCTCCTTCAGTTCTACGTCTGCTAGAGGAGACTTAATCCAGAGGTGTCAGATAATCCATCCAGTTGGTTGCTGCGCAGTTGGAAAATAGTGCTTCCCGCCTGAGCCTTCCAAGTCTGCCTACTTTGAAATACCGCCATATGTGCCGCTGTTTCATTCTGTCCCACAGTCACCTGTTCTTACCTCTCCTTTAAAAGGATCCTTATGTTCCACCTGTAAATGGGAAGGTGGGCCAGTGTTCCTGCCATAAGTTTCGTGACCGTCAAATGATGGGTCAGGTCCTCAGGGGCAGACAGGACCTGCAGGCATCTGCTGCACCTTTGCTGCTCCCACCTCCACAGTGCAGACCTGTGCTGCCTGTCCCCACCTGCACTCCTGTCACTCTGTCCTGGCCAGGACTGTGGCGGCGTCCTGCTGTTTCTGTTCAGGACAAATCCAGTCCTGTTAGAAACTCCTGCAGCTTCTCGTGCCACTGTGGCTCTTATTTTTCTAAATTACCATCTCTGCTGTTCTTTCTCTCTCTCTCTAAAAGATTTATTTATTTCAAAGACAGAGAGAGAGAGCGAGTGATACATCTTCCATCTGGAGGTTCATTCCTCAGATGGCTGCAACAGTCAGAGCTGGGCCAGGCTGAGGCCAGAAGCCAGGAGCCCTCTGGGTTTCCCACATGGGTACAGGGGCTCAGTCCTGTGTGGCATCCTCACACATCCTCCCAGGCATATTAACAAGGAGCTGGATCCAAAGTGAAGCAGCTGGGCCCCAATCTGGCGCCCACATGGAATGCTGGCATCCCGGCAGCAGCTTTCCTTGCTATTCCGTGACTCCAGCCCCTGTGCTCTGACCTTCTAGGCACCTTCCCTCAGGACCTTCACACTCACTCTTGCCTCTGCCTCCACAGGCCTCCATCCATGTGTCCCCAGTTGTGCTGCTCATCTGCAGGTCTTTAGTCACGACACCTACTCACTCTCACACATACCCTCATCACTGCCTCGAGCTGCAGCCCTGGTACTGTGGGTAGTGTGTGTGGAGGGAGCGGGGCATGACTAGCAGTCTCCCACTGGAACACCAGCACCATGGGGGCAGGAGTTGTTTGTCTTGCTCTCTGCTTGTTTCCCAGTGCCTGGAAAAATGCCTAAGTTGATCTGATCACAGCCATGTCCTAAACCTCAGGGAATATTGACTCCCTTCTCAGCCCCAGGTTCCCGCCCCACCGAGGGGCCTGTCTTCACAGTCACACAGTAAGCCCTGCTTTGGACTTACTGTGTCTCAGCTTTGGAACAGTTGGAGATTAAAGCTTGTCTGAATCCCAAGTTTTTCCAATGGTCACAGCACGAGTTGGGGAGGACAGAGGCACACAGGCAGGCCTGGTGGCCACAGGTGCCCTGTGTCCAGGCTCAGGAAGCCAGCCTCCCTGCTCCACATGCGGGCTCAGCATTTTGAAGCTGTATTCTGGAATATGTCAAGAAGTGACCCAGTTTTCAGTTTGAACTCGGGTTACTGCGTTCTGACCCTGTGAGCCACGTTTGTGTGCTGCTTCCCTGAGCTGCTGGCCAGGCTTGGGGATTTTTGTAAAAAAAATTCAGAGAAACAGCTGTTGTCTTTGATTTAGCTTTTTCATAAATTAGGAGGGAAAGACTATGGCTTAAATAATTGAAAATTTTGTTGTTGGCACCTTCAGTTGCCAGCTGATTAACTGGGTGCCATTTCTGTGTGTTGCCTCGCCATGGGGCTCGGCCTCTCCAGGCGGTGTGCTTGGTGAGCACGCCTGAGCCCAGAAAGGGCGCTAAGAGCAAGGGAAACAGCCTGTGTGCTGGTGAGCACTCGGTGCTGGGGGCTTTCTCTCACGCCGGAGGACCCCAGTGGACCAACGTGTAGGTGCGTATTTGTCCGGGAACAGGGTGGAGTGACGAAAAGTCCTGCCATCCAACCCTGGTCACTTCCTATGCCACAGGGCTGTGTACCCTTCCCTTCGGTTGTATTGGTTGGTGCTACGTCTAAGTGGCAAGTTTGCAGTGTAAGTGCTGTCAGCAAGGTTTTGCATGTTGGTGGCTTTATTCTCAGGGAGAGCTGATGAGTGGCTAGGCTTACAAGTTCCCCTGCAGTTGCTAGTATCTTGAATTTCTTTCCATTTATTTTAGGAGTAAAAGTCCCTCGCAATTTCCGACTGTTGGAAGAACTCGAAGAAGGCCAGAAAGGAGTAGGAGATGGCACAGTTAGCTGGGGTCTAGAAGATGACGAAGACATGACACTTACAAGATGGACAGGGATGATAATTGGGCCTCCAAGAGTAAGCGTCGAGCTGCGGCTATAAATGTCAATGTCTTAAATTCACTGTGCCTCCTTTTTAAAACAAAACTAGCCTTATCATGGAAAAAAAAAAACCTCACCAATGGTATATTTTCTCATGTGGCTATTCTTTTTTGACCAGTTTCAGTTTAGATATTTGAACCTCCTCTGGTGCAGTTTAATCCCTCTGAATGGTAAGCAAAAACCTGCGTGAATTTATGTGGCCATGTAGACCCTCAAATGTAGATTAGAACCAACTTCGGAGCTTGTTGGGTACCAGGTTCCAGGTACCAGGCTGACTGGCGTGCCTGCGGCCTGTTTCCAAGCTGAGAAAGCCCTGGCAGTGGTGGGTCACTTCCCCAGGTAGGCTGTGCGCCTGTGTCCTAGCTCACTGGCCCTTAACAGCCCTGGTCTGTTCCAGGCGCTGCTGAGCCCACCCAGAGGCCTTTGCACAAAAGAGCCACATGGTGGGGATGGGACGTGACCGCAAGCGTGGTGATTTGCTGACAGTCCCTGGTCTTTTCGATGTCAGCCCTCCTTGTTTTGAGGGTACGTGGTCAACCTTCCAGGACCAGGTAGCGGGTATGCCTGCATCCAGATCAGCATATGGGGATGCAGACTCGGGAATGCTGTCACCTGTCCAGGGCCACACGGCTGATAGTCCCGGAGCAGGTCTGTGGCACACCCCGACCTGTGCTCTGACCCGTCCCAGCAGTGTCCCCTCAATACATTTGAGTGTGTGTTTGGTTCCGTTCCAGAGTTCTGCAGGCATGCAGCAGTGACTGGCTGTGGGGTCAGGAAGGAGACCCCCATGCTGGGGGGTGCCCGCTTGCCATCAGCTGGAGGGGCTGTGACTGCCCTCATCACCACTGGCCCAGGTCAGCCTGTGCCTGAGCATGGCACTGCTCGTTCCTGCCGTGGAGGCGAGGCTTTGCGCTGTTGGGAGAGAGACAGCCGGGGCACAGCCCACTGAGCAGGCGGAGGGCAGTGCTCAGCACAGGTCACGACGCTCTGGTGTCAGCCTGGCCAGCAGCCAAAGCCACCAAAGTGAGCAGCTTTGCTGGGAGACGTTGCCACAGGGGTCATTTTTAGACCTTGCAATTCAGTGTGGTTCAGTCTACTTGTGGTTTCTTTATCATTTTTGCTGTGACACCCTGGGTTAATTTGTTGGATCTGTTAGACAGCAGGAGGCCAGGCTGGGAGTTGTGCCTCCCTGTGCAGATTGTCCCCCTGCGCTCTGAAAGGGCGCTCTGTACCCCTGGCTGCTTTCTTGGGTTTCTTCCTAAAAGTTGTTTTGGTTTATTTTTCTTTCTCTTTCTTTCTTTACTTTTACTTTATTTGTATTGGGAAGTCTGACTTACAGAAAACGCTTCCATCCTCTGATTGACTCCCCTAGTGGCCACAATGGCCAGAACTAAGCCAATACGGAGCCAGGAGCTTCTTCCAGGTCTCCCTCGTTGGTACAGGGTCCCAAGGCTTTGGGCTGTCGTCCACTGCCTTCCCAGGCCACAGCAGGGAGCTGGATGAGAAGTGGAGCAGCTGGGACACAAACCAGAGCCCATATGGGATCCCAGTGCATGCAAGGCAAGGATTTTAGCCACTAGGCTATCACACAGGGCCCTTTTTATTTTCATTGATTTGAAAGGCAGAGTGAAAGAGATGTCTTCCATCCAGCTTTTCCCTCCCTAAGTGCCTACAGGAGCCTGGCTAAGGCTGGGAACAAGGACCTCCATCCTGGCCACCCAGGTGGGTGGCAGGGAATCAGGTCCTGCAGCCATTAGCTGCTGCCGCCCTGGCCCCTTAGTGGGAAGCAGTTGGGATGTGACCCCGAACGCCGAATGGGAGTGTGGGCTCCTAAGGGTGAGAAACTCAGTCTTCCTTCCGCCACCTTTACTCGGCGAGGGACAGCTTTGTGGCTCAGCTGACTTACAATGTCTGACAAATTCAGAATGAGCTAGTACGTGACATTGTGGATGGTACTGAATACCACTGAATTATACACTTAACAAAAAAATACAGGCCATGATCACTCGATTCCAGTTAAAACAATTTATGTCACCCTGACTTTGAGCTTCTCTGCCTTCAAAATGGGCTGTTTTAATGAGTAGCTGCAGTGTGTCGGGCACTTCCCTTATGCTTATTTTGTCTCGGGGCTTTTCTGGCCAGCAGGCCCTGCAATAAGCAGGGTAAGGCGGGCAGTGTTCCTCAGCAGCTACAAGTACCACCGAGGGGCCTGGAGTAACAGCCTAGCGGCTAAAGTCCTCTCCTTGCACGCGCTGGGGTCCCATTTGGGTGCAACTTCTAATCCCGGCAGCCCTGCTTCCCATCCAGCTCCCTGCTTGTGGCCTGGAAAGGCAGTCAAGGACAGCCCGAAGCCTTGGGACCCTGCACCCACGAGGGAGACCTAGAGGAAGCTCCTGACTTCCGATCAGCTCAGCTCCAGCCTTTGTGACCACTTGGGGAGTAAATCAGCAGACGAAGATCTTTCCCTCTGTCTCCTCCTCTCTGTATATCTTTCCAATAAAAATAAATCTTTAAAAAAAAAAGGACCACTGAGACAGTTTGATTGAGCATGTCCGTTTATTGTAAAGCAAACACAAACTTATATAGGCTAAGAAAGCAGGAAGCCAGAGGCCGTCTCCCAGCAGTCCTCCCACCCACCCAGCAGTGGCACTCTAATTGGCTAGAAGGCGCATTTGTGTCTCTGGCTCTTCCGGTCATGTCATAGATCACATCCAACATGCACAGCTGGCAGGTATGCCGCAGGTCATGTTCACCACATGTGGCTGGCAGGTAACAGACCACACCTGACTTCTCAGAATTGCTTATCAGAAGTCCTAATAGCTCGTCCAAGGACAGAGAAGAGGAACTGGGGTGCAGCCCACTGCTCTCACCTGTACAGCCAGTTTGAGGTCTTGGTGAGCCAATACCATTGTCGGGGTTTCCCTGGGGACACAGTGCACCGCGTCCTTGTGACCTCTCACATGAGCCCCGCAGCTGGAGATCCAGGGGTGACCTCACAACTCCGCACAGTGCACACGGTGACGTTCAGGCTTCGAACTAACAAAAAACTCCCATCCCTGTTGGCAGCCACTCCCCACCTTCTGCCCACCTTCCACTTCCTGCCCTTGGCAGTTGCTGGTCTACCCCCGGTGCTGTGAATTTGCTTCTTCTAGACATTGCATACGAATGGGGTGAAGGAGTACGTACTTCTGTACTTAGAAGAGTCATCGTAGTAATAGTAGTATCTGTTGGTGTTTCGTTCAGTTTTGTGACTGCGTGCTAATGCGATGTATGGACATAACCATATTCTGTGTGCCCATCGTTAGTTGATAAACATTTGAGTTGTTTCTGCGTTTTTGGCCATTAGGAATGATGCTGCCAGGTTGTGTGGAGTTTTTGTGTAGGCTTGTTTGCTTGAGGGTGAAATTGCAGGATCCTGGGGTAAGTGGCAGACCTTCCTAGAGCGGCTGCACTGTTTTACAGTCCCAGCAGCAGGCCGTGAGGTCACCCCCCCCTCCCCACCGTCACCAGCACTTGTTACTGTCTCTGCCCCCACAGTTCTGACTCTCCACTCCCCAAGGGTACAGAGACGTGAAGGAGGCTTACTCGATTCGAGCGTTATGGTGGTCGGAATTGGTGGTTTTTGAACCATTACAGCCCTTCTGCTTTTACTTTGAGCACAGCATTTACTAAAGTTACCCAAGACCTTCCTAACCTCTTCATGGAAGAGACTGTTTTACATGAGATTGCCCAGCTGTAGGCCTTTCTGAAGGGTGGCTGGACCAAGTGTGGTACCCTCTGGGTTAGGGCACCGCACATTCTGTGACTCGAGGCTCTCCACTCCTGAGCTTGTCGGGATAGAACCGCCTGGTAGGTTGAGGAGCATCTGCGCCTGCTCCGGGGGCTGTGTCACAACCTGTTTGTGGTTTGCATCTCAGATGTATGCTAGGGTGGTGTGTCATAGGAGGTTAAATAATTGCTGGTGATAACTGCATCCATATCATAATACAAGTTCAAGTCCTGGATACTCTGTTTCCAGTCTCGTCCCAAATTCCTAATGCATCTGGGAAAACAGCAGAAGTGTCACATGGGACACCCAAATGGAATTCTAGGCTCCTGTCCTCCCTCGGGCCCAACCCTGGCTGTGGCAGGCATTAGAGAATTGAACTTACAAATGTAAGGTAGACATACGTCTCTCTCTCTCTCTCTCTCTCGATATGCCTTTCAAGTAGATGAAAATAAACCTTTGGGCCCAGCGCAATAGTCTAGTGACTAAAATCCTTGCCTTGCATGTGACAGGGTTCTACATGGATGCTAGTTCATGTCCTGGCTGCTCCACTTCCCATCCAGCTCCCTGCTTGTGGCCTAGGAAAATGGTCAGGGACAGCCAAAAGCCGTGGGACCCTGCACCCGCATGGGAGACCCAGAAGAGACTCCTGACTTCGAATCAACTCAGCTCAGCCGTTGCGGCCACTTGGGGAGTAAACCAGCAGATGAAAGATCTTCTTCTGTCTCCTTCTCTGTGTATATCTGACTTTCTGATAAAAAGAAAGAAATCTTTAAAAAATCAATGCTATAGAACTGAAATGGAATTAGTAGGAATATAGTCATAAAAAGGATCTAAATAGAGCTCATCTCCCTATTGTATCTTTATTACTGTTTCACTAAAAAAGAAAAAAGTCTTGGCATCAGATTTTTTTTTAAAGATTTATTTTTATTATGTTTTTATTGGAAAGGCGGATATACAGAGAGGAAGATCTTCCGTCCGATGATTCACTCCCCAAGTGAGCGCAACGGCCAATGCTATGTCGATCCGAAGCCAGGAGCCTCTTCCGGGTCTCCCACGCGGGTACAGGGTCCCAAAGCTTTGGGCCGTCCTCGACTGCTTTCCCGGGCCACAGGCAGGGAGCTGGAAGGGAAGTGGGGCTGCCAGGATTAGAACCGGCGCCCATATGGGATCCCGGGCATGCAAGGCGAGGACCTTAACCACTTGTGCCA